ATACTTTATTGCATCAGTTACAGCTAGATGTTCCCCCAAAAGCTCATGTGGCTGGATCTAGAGTACGTGATGCTGGGAATAAGGGTGCCTCACCCTCAGTGTAGGTGGTACTACAAAAGGTGGGTAGCCTGGAAGGGATAAAAGGGAGAAGGCAGGCTACTGCTGCTTGTTCTCTCCTGCCTGGTTGCCATAGACTATTTTTCCTCAGCAATGCCCTTGTATTTTAGAGTCTGCTAATTATGGACTGAAACCTCTACAAACTGTAAGCTGAAATAAACCTTTATTTGACTGAGTATGGGCTATTTTTATCTCAGCAACTAGTAACTAAGACAGTATCCATAAGAAAAGATCAGTAAATGAAAGCACTAGTGTGAACATATGAGCAAATATTGGAGAAAATTTTAATAAGTATACTCCTTTATCTAATGAACATTAAAGTAGGAGGTAGAATCAGTTGACTATCCTACTGAGAAACATTTTTCCCCCAAAACTAAAAACTCTAGTGGAAAGGAAACATGGGCAGAACAAATACTTAATACTGGTAAAATGTTTATCTGAAATTAACACTATCAATGAACTGTGCAAGCCTGATGTTTTCCTGCTGAATGGTAGGCTTCACACCTAATGAGATTTATACAAGACTTTCACTATGAGACAAAAAGCAGTAATTTACTGTAGAACTGAAAATGTTACCACCACACAAGTGACTTAATGTTGTCAAAAGTTTAACACAATTTTACTAGCTTAAAATACTATCCTTCCCAAGCTTAACTATCTATAGACTGACCAGAATTAGAAGTTAATAAAGTAGTATAACAAAGTTATGAGAATAAGAAGGTATATAATGAATACGAAAGAAAATACTAATAGCAAACAAACAAACAAACAAACCACCACCAAGTGTATATTTTGTGAAAGACACTGTTTCAGCATAGCTTCCATTAGGTCAAAAACCTAAGTATGTTTGAGTCATGTTTCTAACCTAGGCAATCTGATTATTCAGATTCCTATCTCTCACTTTTCTGGAGATACACAGTATAAGGAAGGGAAGTTGGGTGTGGTGGCAACATGCCTGTAATCCCTACATACCCAAGCCTAAAGCAGGAGAATCACTATAAATTCGAGGCCAGCCTAAGCTACATAGCACAATGCTGTCATTAAGAGGGTAGGGGGACAGATAGTTCAAGGGATTAAAGTGCCTGCTTATGCAAATGCAGGGATCGGGTTTTGATCCCCATGGCATGCTGAGACAGGGATTGAGGCTGGGCGTGGTGTGGTGGCACATGCTTGTAATCCTAGCACGTCAGAGGCTGAAAACACGAGGATCACTATGAATATGATCTGTGTATTGAGACCCTGGACTAAATAAACACACAAAAAGGGAAACTGAAGAATTAAACATTATTATGAGTATGAAATTTAAATGAGGCAATAACATGTAGAATTTGAAACAGAAAAAACCTTAAGAAAGTGGAACTGTAGAAGAAAGATAGCTCCTTTAACAAGTGGTGCTGGCAAAACTGGCTCTTCGGGTCTATCACCATACACTAAAGTTAAACTGGATTAAAGATCTAAACATTAAAACAGAAACACTAAATCTCCTGGAAGAGAAAGTAGGTGGAAATCTTAAAAGATACAAGGGTAGGCAAACAGTTCATGAACAAAAATCAAACTGTACAGGGAATACTTGAAAGAATAAATAACTGGGACCTCCTCTTATTGAGAAGTTTCTGCATGTCAACAGAAATTACCGGGGCTGGGGAGATGGCTTAGTGGAATAAGCGCAAGGGCCTGAGTTCAATCCCTGGTACCAGGAAAAAAAAAAAAAAAAAAAAACCAAAACACCAGAAATTACCAAGAGTGAAGACAATCAAATTCAGAAAAAATCTTAATAATCACTTAGACAAAGGTTTCTATCTAGAATATATAAAGAACCAAAAAACATTAGGGCCCCAAAATTTAAGGACCCAATCCAAAAATGGGCATCTGACATGAATACACACTTCTCAGAGGAAGAAATACAAGTGGCAAATAAAAACATGAAAAAAGGCTCCACATCACTGGCCATTCATGAAATGCAAATTAAAACATTGAGATACCATCTCACCCCAGAAAGAATGGCTATCACAAAGAAATCAACCAACAACAAACAGGCTGCAGGAAAAAAGGAACCCTTCTCCACTGCTAGTGGAAATGTGGACTGGTGCGATCATTATGGAGATCACTGTGGAGACACCTCAAAAAACTAGGACAGGAAATCCCATTCAATCCTGCTATCCCTCTTCTGATATATGTGTGCCTATGTTTATAGCAGCATAATTTATGATAGTCAAATCTTGGAAACAACTAAAATGCCCATCACCTGAGGAATAGATGAAAAAGATGTGGATGCAACTTGAGGCTATACTCATAAGTTAAATAAACCAGACCCGCATGGGTAAATATCATGTCTCCCTACTGCAAGAACTCAAAAGAAGAAATAGAAACTGAAAGGTAAAACAGACACAGTTAAATAGAAAGAAACAGAACTTAAGGATTTAACAACAAAGAGAGGGAAAAGAAGAAAAGTTAGGAATTAAGGTAGGGGCAAAAACCATACATGTATATATACAAGATGGATAGTCCTAAAAATTTCCATCAGGTTTTTGGAAATAGTTAATTCTCACCCTAACCCTATGTTGATATCTGTGAACTAAGCAAATAAGGACAGCCATGTGTAATACTAAAATTACGTTTGAAATGCATATCATCTTGGTCTTCTAAACGTGTACCATTTCTAGTGTCCTATCAATTACCACTATATTATCTTTAAATTTTTTAAAAAGGTAAAAGGAGAGATTAAAAAATGCAAGATTTCTTGAAAGCATATGGCAATATTCAATTATATGTCCCATCCTGCATAACTATATGTTAATCTGAGCAACAAACAGATTTGACAAAAACCAATCAATCAGTTAATCAGATATTGTTTTGAAAATCTATAACATATGTATTGTGTTACGCTGTTTCGGTCTTTGCTTTTGTTTTTCTTGCTCTTTTTAACTCTTCAAAATAAAATTATTTTTAAAAAGGTAGAACCACACATGTACCATAAATCCAAAGTGTCAAGTAGTAGTCCCTATCCTCTGACAATAAAATGAAGTGAAACACCATATACAAATGAGGTTAAAAAAACAAGTACTAGAGGACCGGCCAAATAGCTCAGTGGATTAAAGCACCTGCAAGTAGGCACAGGGGCCAGGGGTTCGATCCCTGGGCCTGCTGTGCCAGTATCACCCCTGGGGCGCGTTGAGATGGCAACTGAGACTGGGTGTGGTGACACGCACCTATAATCCCAGTTCTTGGGAGGCTGTAAACAGGCAGAACATTACAAGTCCGATCTAGTAGTAAGACCCTGAACACCCAGTCGACCCCTCCCTAAAATACAAAAGAAGTACTGAAGTGCACATAATTTATACAACTCTACTATAGAGGAAGTGCTACACTGGCAACTATGAAGGCTTTGTCTCACAATGGAGATGAAACTTTAACAGAGTCTGAGTTATATGAAACTGAGCCCTAATATTTGGTTGTGTATATACTACATAAAAACTTATTTTTCTGATTTTGATTTCCTTTAGTATAAAGCATGTATCTCATGTTACCTCCACTGTTCTATCCTGCTGCATAGGAACCTAAGATGAAATGATAAACGATAGCTTGCTGTCTGGTAACTGCCAGCTGTCTGATGCTTGGATTGCTTGTCTAGCTCTGCAACCTATTACTGGGAGGACTCAGTTGGCCCAAAAGGAGAAATGTAAGAAAAGAGTTAATAAAATAAGTAGGGACATCTAAAGAATTGCCTAATTCTTCCTTTATGTGTATCTGAAATTGAGCATTAAAAATTTTGTGATTATAAACACCACAGAAATTTAACCTATAACAGTAAGACTATTCTGCTTCTCAAATGAGTATAGCATCATTTTAAATACACAATATTTGCTTTGCAGATCGTATTACAACATGTTAAATGAGTGGTTTGCTTAATAACCAGTATGTTCGGGGCTGGGGAGATAGCTCAGTGGAATAAGCGCTTGCCTTGCAAGCACAGGGGCCTGAGTTCAATCCCCGGTTCTGCCTTAAAAAAAAAGATTGTCAAGGAGCCAGAGAGATGGCTCAGTAGAATGAGCATTTCCCTGGCAAGCGCAAGGGCCTGAATTCAGTTCCCGGCTCTGCAAAACAAAAACAGAAACAGAAACAAAACAGTATGTTCAATTCCGCCTCTAATACTGATAACAAAGTTCTCCTGTCTATGGCTCTGGGAATGAAGGTGGATAGGGGAAGGGGAGACGCCTATGAATCTGGCACAGGATAGAGGAGAATATGTAGTAAGAACCCATCTATACTTCAGCATCCACACATTCTGACACAACTGTTAAAAGGCAAAAAAGAAATGACAATGAGATGTATGTATGGCAAACACTTAAAAAAATCACCTGCTGAAATCTCAAGAAACTTATCCAACATGTTTAAACTTTCAAAACATATTAAAATCTAAATTGAACTCACAAATATTTAATGCATTGTCTGAGGTACTAATGAAACAGAATTATACGCAAGAACAGACTTCAACAAGTTTTCTCAAAAAGCTACAGGTAGCAGTAAGCAAGGAGGTAAAGTTTGGAAAGAAAAACAAGAAGGCAACACCCAATTGTAGTAACAGACTGAGTCAGGGAAGAAAAAGCACACCCAGGGGATGTGGACAAGGTAAAGTTTGGAAAGAAAAACAAGAAGGCAACACCCAATTGTAGTAACAGACTGAGTCAGGGAAGAAAAAGCAATCAAGTTAACAGGGTGAGTTGGAAAGGTAAGCACTGACCAAGAGCCTTGAAATGCTGGACTTGAGTTTAGGTTGTATAAAATCAACTATTTTTCATCTTTTCAAATGTGCTATTCCAAAGGTAATTAATTCAAAGTAATCACTATTATTGTATCTTCACAGTTTATCTTATAATACTTACCTCTAGCGTACAGTCTCATGCTTTCCATGTAAGTTGCAAGGTTTTCTGCTACCAGAGTAACTAGGGCATGATTGTGCTGAAGTTGATTGATTAAGTCATGACGATAAAATACATGAGGACTTCGCTGAGTTTGACTGAAACGAGAAGAACTTAACAATATAATTAGGCAATTAAACTCTGTTGTAATCATGAGTTAACACTATCTAAATTCTTAGTTACTAATTTAAAAACTATGATTTTGTACATTCAATTCCTTTAATGGCAATTTAAAATAATGTTGCAAACAGTAATTTTTCTTATATATACATAAAACAATGCATCAGTACTCTCTAACTTCACCCCCTAGGCATCTACTTCAGTAAGTGATTTCTACTCCTATAATAGAGTACTCAAAGTGTTTGTGTTAGGTTACACAATTATTTCAGAATTATAAAACACTTCTTTCAAGATGAGGTTACAACTGACATGAAGAGTTTAATCAAAGAAAATGTTTTTAGGGGCTGGTGAGATGGCTCAGTGGTCTAAAGCACCTACTTAGAACAAGCTTGGCAAAGCACAGGGACCGCGGTTCGATCGTCCAGCACCACATGCCAGCCAGCCACGCCCCCTGGTGGGCTGAGCTGCGCACACGCGCGCGCGCACACACACACACACTAAATAAAGTGTAAAAAAAATTAAAATAAATAATAAAATAAAATGTTTTTATAATACTTTTATTACCTATTCACAATACATATTGGGAGCCTTGGTTTATAGCCAAGGTTGCCCACTAAGTGTCACCAAAAAAGATACCTAGTTTCTTTCAAATCTGTTGCCTTATTCATTGAAAGCAGTCAGTTTTCACAGCCACTGCTACTCATTTCACTGGCACTTGGCACACGTGGACATGAAGTTATTGAGCCTTGGTAGTGTGTGTGAACTATCATGCTTGTCTCTAACAATTAAATTAATTTGAAAAAAACGCACATATATATATATATGTATGTGTGTGTGTATATATATATATATCTCAAATACATTCAAAAGTATGTCCCTCAAATGAATGTTACTTTTAAGAAAATTTTCTAATTTTTTTTCACTTGCTGTTCCTATAGCTTTTTCCCATTTCCTATATGTTGGTTGGGGAGATAACTCAGTGGCATTAACGCCTATCTGCCAATTTCCTATATATTTTCCAACATTGGGGCTAAAAAAGGTAAGTGCAACTGCTAACATCGGACCGGAGAGATAGCACAGTAGAATAAGCGCCTGCCTGGCAAGCTCAAGGGCCTGAGTTCAATCTGCGGTCCTGCAAAAAAATTCAACTGCTAACCACACACACATGCACACACACATTTTTTGAGACAGGGTCTTGCTATGCAGTTCAGGCTGGCCTTGTGCTCTTTTGTAGCTCCCAGGCTGGTCTCAAACTCAGCAATCTTCCTGTCTCAACCTCCTGAGTGCTGGGGTTACAGGTGTGTGCCACTATGCCCAGTTCCAGGGCAAGAGGGCACACCCAGGGGATCCGGAGCTGGCATGGCATGTGGGGCCAGGGATTGAACTCGGGTCCTTGTGCTTTCTAGGTAGCTGCTTATGCCTGAGTTATCTTCCCAGCCCTTCAAAAATATATATGGCTTTTCTACTTCTGTCCTAGCCATATGATGGTAATCCAGGGTTGTAATGGGCCTTGCTATTGACTTTTTTTTTTTTTTTTGCAGAACCGGGGATTGAAACTCAGGCCCTTGCTAATCATTTAAATTTATGTAAGGAAAATGGTTCTTTAGAAAAATGTTAATAGCATTAAATAACTGGTTTGAGACAAGGTTCACACTTTGGTGTAACTTTTTCTTTTTAAAAAAATGTTAGTTCTAGCTGTATTACCAGAAAATGCAAGGACAAATTCTTTCACTAACCAGAATTTGGCACCTAAGATGATATTACTGAAAGATAATTAATGCTATTACAAAGAAACTTTAAAATGTTTAAAAATGTATTTTTAAATTGTACTATATTTTTACTATCTTACATCACTTAAATGTCCAAATCAACTTTAAAAAGTTTACTTTGATAACTACTGTAATAGGTAATGTTTTAAAATTAATAAAGATAGGAAGGCTAAAATAGTTAATAGATACAACACATGTTATGAAACCATCTAGCACACTTGATGGAAGATGTATCTCTGACCAAGAACCTAAAGGCAGTATCACTGTTTTAATTTTGACAGTTATCATTTAATTGTGGGCTTATTTCCTCATCAATAAAACAATTGTGAAGATGGCAAACGGTTCTTTTGTTTCTAACCTTTCTCTTAAGCTTCATCTTTCATTGGCTTTCTTTAAAATTTGCTTTTTTTAACCTGTCATTTTCTTTGTCATTTTCAACAGAATACAAAAATAAATGCACTCAAAATTCTATGCTTAGGTCTTACCTCAAATTCTGAGGTGCTTCACCGAACAAACTACAGATTTCTCTAATTTGCTTCAGTGCAGGAATAACCCACTTGTCGTTTGTGCGAAGTTCTTCTATAAAGCGATCTATCCACTGGATCTTTTGCGTGTCACGGTCCTTAAACAATTCCAATTATATATATCCATATTCATTCTTCTTTTACATTATTTTACATTATAAAAGCTTTTAACATTAGTGTCACAAACATTACACTATAACTGAACTGAAGATTTTTAAGAAAAAGTTTTGTTTTTTAAGAGAACTATTAGAAAAGTTAAGTGCTGTGTAGTTTTAAATTTGTCAAGAGTATTCAGTTGTATCCAGTGTGCTTAAGAGATTCTGTCATATCACAGAATCAAACATTAACATCTAGTACCCTGATTACACGTTCAACAGTTTAATTATATTATTTTTAATTTACCTATGAGCAAATATAATTTCTCTTACCCTTTAAATACCTAGTCAGCTTTCACATTTATGATCTATTTGAAATAAGTATTTCTGTACCATGCTTGTGACACTACCAATAATGAGGAGACTCAAATGATTCATAAAATCTTAATGCAGAGTCCTAAGTAAAGGAAAACAGGCTTATATGAACATAGCAAATTACTGAAGATCAATTAAAAAAATAACCACGTTGGGAAATTCTGGATCTGTCCTGAAACTAAGCCATCCTAACTAAATGTGAAGGAGAAAAGTCACAAAAAGTAAGCAAACCAGCACACACTCTTACCTGGGAGCAACTATAATCTAATATTTTTATGTGGGCACTAAGAGCCAGGTCCATGATATCTACAGGCACATCATCACTGTGGGCCAGATTCCACAGAAGGTTCAACACTTTGTGTGCCATCACACCATCTTTATCATCTTCTGCAAGACGACGGATCAGCTCAAGTAGCTTTTCACGTTGTTTCTTACTTGCATTTGTCCAACTGGCCTACAAAAAGGATTAAGTGACATGAAAATAACATAATTTGATTATTTCTTCTTAAATATAGTGCTACCAAGTTAACTATAGTTCAGCTCATTGGAAAAATAACATAGATGGGCAGAGAATTTAAGGGATACCAGAAAGACAATGGTATTCATAGGCCAGAGTTAAATTTCAATTTAAAAAAAAAAGAAACAACCCTAAAATCTTCACAGCATCCTTGGCTTTTTCCCAGCAGAAGCCAGCATGGAGTTGAAGCAACCAAAAATATTTCCAGACACTACCAAACATTGGGGGCCACAAGCACAGAGTAACCTCCCACTGAAAATCTGTATCTTAGATTCAGCCTATTACTTGTAATTTTATATTAGAAGATGACCAAGACAGCTTGATATGCCAAAATTTTCATAACAAATGAAAAAGCTTATCATAATAGGGAGGTCATGATTCATTACAAATGGTCAAAGTTGTCTCAGATAATTACTAAGGATTTGTTGATATTCTTTCATCTACTCAATCAAAGCTAAACATAAGAAATACAAATGAAAATCATTTGCTTACTGGGTTGCAGTAGCTGACAGTTAAGAACAAGATATTTAGCAAATTGAATGCAAAAGAATACTTAGAGAAGAGATTGGAAGTGCATTTAGAGATCTCCCTCACAGTACATCCAGTCTAAAGGGTTTTATGCTACTATAAACCATGAAAGACACCATCCTAAATTAACACTTTTGTTTCAAAAGAAAAAAGCCAAAATAAAAAGCAATTAAATTTAAACATTAAAAAAAAATGAAAAAGCTGATGAACAGTACATCACGTTTAAAAACAAAAAAGTGAAAGTCTAAGTTAAGAACCAAGAAAAAGAAAATACTTAGAAATGATACAAGGTAGGAGAGAAGATTGTATAATGATTCAATTTAGGAGATAAGAACAGTCATTTAAAAACTTCAAAATGGAAACAACAATGACCTTCTAAAATGATTTCAAACATCCAGTTAATATGGTTATCACAACTTAGGAAAGGGAGGGGGGGTACTGGCGGCATTCAGTAGACAAGAAGTAAGGGGTGAGGGCATGGGGGCACACGCCTACAAACCCAACACTCAGTGGCTGAGACAGGATGATGGCTGCAAGATTGAGGCCAGCTGAGGTTACATAAGAAATCAAGGCCAACCTGAATTACAGGGAAACCCTGTCTCAAAAACCAAAGCAAAACAAAAAAGTCAGGAGTGCTGCTAAACAATATGTGAAAATTATGATGTATAAAGTTGCAAATCAGTGCTTACTGATAAGCTGAAAATAAACCTAATGGCAACCAGTAGAATGATGGCATTAAGTATTTTTTTTCCTTTATTAGTAGTACTGAGGATTGAACCCAGGACCCCACACATACTAGGTTTAAGAGACAAACCTCCAGCCCCTTTTTATTATGAGACAGGATTTCACTAACTTGCCCATACTGGCCTTCAAATTGCAATCCTCCTGCCTTTATTAGCCTCCTGAGTTGCTGGGATTACAGATTATGTGCCACCATGCCCAGTATAGATCCTTTCAACAGAATTATCACACACATTTACAATAGCAGATATGGGATATCTGCAAAAACAACTTTAAGACAACCTGGCATTGACGGAAGGAAAGGAGGGAGGGAGCGAAGAAAGAAGGCAGGCAGGCAGGCAAGTGGCTCAAAAATATAACATGTCCACTCGTTACTGATAAAGGATTTAAAAAACTTAATACCATGAGGTAACATTTCATACCAAAGACTTCAAAAATTCAGAATGCTGACAAAAGTGCTGAGGATGTGAAAACCATGATGAAACTTCAAATTGATACAACCACTTAGGAAAAAAAAAGTCCTACTTAAGTACTGACATTTAAAAACTAGAATCTGGGTCAAGGACCTCTGAAGAAGTTGGGATCATTTGATTGCAATCTACAAACAAGGAAACTCAGGGTATGCTTTCTTTGTTCACCTTTAAAATACTTTATAGGTAGGAAATGCTCAATTTAACAACTTCACAAAAAAAAGTGCTTGTATTTTACCAAAAGTAACACTGCTCAATAAACATTTGGCAAGCCAAGGGGATACATGAGAGAATTCTTTATAAACTATTCTAAGCAGAAAGTGGGGAGCCAGGAATACAGTTCAGAGGCACAAACACCTGCCTGGCAAGCACAAGGTTCTGAGTTCCATTCCTGGTACAAAAAAACAAAATCTAAGCACAAAGTGGTTTAGGAGATAAAAACACACCTTTGCTTCTTCCATTATGGCCCTTCAGTAGTCATGTACCACCATTTCAGAAGTCATCACAAGATGAAAAACAAATGGCAATTATCTATAGGTTATCCATGATAACTAATTCTTTTATCTGCTCAGCTATCTTTCACATAGATTTGTGGATGGAGAAAAAAATGTGTAAGAATTTTACTTTTACATGTATAAAAAGGTATTTAAAACAGACGAAAGACTCACTCAATAATACTCTGCTCCTTTCAAAATTAAATTTTTCTGTAAGGCAAGGGTTTATAACTTTAACATATTTTAAGGGTCACCTGAGAAACTGGCTTAAAATAGATTGTCAGGCTGCCTACCTAGCGATTCTAATTTTATATGCCTGGGGTGGAAACCAGTAATCAGTTTCCCCTCATACTATGAAATACACATCTAGAAAAGTACAAACATATGTACCATTATTACAGTACATAATGTAAACATCTGTGTAAGTATTACACAAGTCGAAAATAACACAGTAAGCAGCACCCCAGACCCAGCTGGAATTATTTCTGAGGTTATATTACTCTAATCAAAGGATATGAATTAGTGTGACTTTATTACTTTCTTCAACCTTCTAATTATAATTAACCATCCATATGGTTTTGTTGCTCTAATGTATTCATCATGCTCAGCACAGTATGCTGTAAAGTATTCCATTACATGAACATTCCACAATTTACCCTAGTATTGTTCATTCATTCTACAAAGTATTTTTAGCTTTTATAAATATTTTTTTTGCTTTTATAAATCTGCTCGTTTTTGGACATGTATTAAGGTGCGCATATGCGCAAGTTTCTCAAGTATCTCTTTTTTTAAAACCTTTAAAAAAATCTTTTATTTGGTACAGGGTCTTACTACACAGCTTGGACTTGTAGTGATCCTCCTGTCTCAGTGCTGGGAGTATAGGCATGCACAACCATGCCTAGTTTTGGTGGCTGGCACAGCATGGGGTACTGGAGATTAAACCTGGGTCCTTGTGCTTGCCAGGCAGGCGCTTAGACTGCTATGCCATCTTTCCCAGCCCTCAAATATATATTGAGAAGTCAAACTGGTAAGTCATGAGAATTTTGTATTTTGCCAGAAATATTTTTCTGAAGTGTTTAGAGACCATCCCTTTGGAAACACTGATATATATATATATATATGATTTTTTTTTTTGGTGGAACCAGGGATTGAACTCAGGCCTTTGCGCTTGCCAGGGAAGCACTTATTCCACTGAGCTATCTCCCCAGCCCCAGCCCTTATATTTTTAATATACAAATTCATTAATCACTTGGGCTTTTACATATCTAGCCCCAGGCATCAGTGGAAGACACTGTTCTACAACATGGCCTTTAAAAAAGCACATAAGGGTACCACGCAGACACCATTGTCAGGGTCTTAGGCTACCCGTTATGAGTTTTATTTCCATTTAAGCATGTTTTGTCTGGGCTTATGAGCCCAGAAATACCATTAAATTGGTATTCCCTTGCTGTCATCTGCTAATTGTCACAGTTACCAAAGATCTATCCAGTTAATCTTATAGTTCTACTGCCAAAATACAAACTGTCAAGGAAATAAACACAAATTCATAACCTAAATTCTGAAAGGGAATGAGATTCCTCATTTAGAAAGGCTTTTGTATAGATGTGACTCATGTGGTTGGTCACAGGTGGGGCCTTTCAGAAGTGGCTGGCTCTAGAGTGTTTGATGCTGAGATCAAGGATGTGTGATTACTGAACTAGTTCACTGATTGGTTTGGCAGACTTCTGGGAGATGATGGGAAGGCCCACCCTGGGTGTGAGTGCTACCTGCCCTAACTGCATGTAGCCTGGATAGAACATAAGGGACAGAAAGAGGACTGCTATGGTCATTTGTAGCTTGCTGCCTTGTTGCCTTTTGCCTGACATAAAATGTTCTTTCTCTGCTATAGTCTTCAGTCATGCTACCCTATTTTTGAGCCAGCCACCTATGAACCAAATCCTCTACAAACTGAGCTGAAGTAAATCTTCCCTTCTTTTACTTTGGGTGTCAAGCATTTTGTCTCAGCAATGGGAAAATAACATAAGTGGGGATATTATAATGTATTACAAAATTAAATCAAGTTCTTACTGGAAAACAATGACAAAGTCACCAAAGAGTATGTAACAGGATTTGTGTTTTACTTATTTATAGGCTAAGAAAAATTCACAAACCTAATGAATTACTTCTATTTAAAATAAAATGATAATGACTTTGCTTGCTAAAAATTACCTTAAAGCAATCAAAAAGATGATCAAGTTGTTCAGGTGAAAAATCCCATGCCAATTTTGCCAGTAGATCATGTACATTCTTCACAATGGCTTCATGTTTCCCTGCCTATTGAGAAACAAAAACAACAGTGGCATATTCACTGCCAAAAACTATGAAGTTATTTCGACTTTTCTCATTTAACCATATAACCTAAAATCCCTAAATAAGTTTTTTTTCGTTTTTTCAAAGAAGGTCTTGCTGGCAGTTAAGCTGATACTTCAACTTTCTATGTAGCTGGCCTTAAACTCATAGGAATCCTCCTGCCTCAGCTTCCCAATTGCTGGGATTATAGGTTTGTACCACTGTATCTGGCATTGAAAAATTCCCAATATTACAAATGCTTTAAATTGAAACCCTGGCAATTCTAAATCAGTTAGTGTGTATATGTTAGTAGATCACATGAGCCATTATTATAGTTTATGGAATTTAACATACCAATTTTAATATTGTAAATAGAAAAAGAAAGTTCCAAAGAAAAATAGGATTCCCAACTAAGGTTCCAAAGAAAAACAGGGTTCTAAAACTCGAACCATAGACTAAATCATTACTGTGGTCTTTATTTAAAAAGAAAAAGATTTAACTCTGAAACTGATGGTTTCTTTTTATTAGATCTACAAAAAAACCCCAAATCTCTTGATACATATTCATATATATGGGGGGAGAGAGAGAGAGAGAGAGAGAGAGAGAGAGTGTGTGTGTGTTTGGTGGGCAGAGTCTTATTCCTCCAGCCTTACCTTCTGAGTGCTGGGATTTCAGGCATTCACCACCAGGCCAGGTTACTTATTTACAACTACCTACAAACTACAACCTTTGCCAAATTAAAAAAAAGTATCTTGAAAAACATTACTCGCTATTTTGAAGAGTTTCTTGGCAGATTTCTGTAAATATAACAAGCATCTGAATATTTTAAGTCAACACAAGCTTGTATTCCATTTCATGATTACTACATTTTAGTTTTTAGCAGCTTTCATTTAAAAACTAACCAACAGGCTGGGGAGATAGCTCAGTAGAGTAAGCGCCTGCCTTGCAAGAACAGGGTCCTGAGTTTAATCCCCCGTACCAGGGGTGGGGGATCCAGGTATAAACTAACCATCATCTTAAGTTCCTTACCTGTGCTGCCCAAATATTATCAAGATCTTGCAAGGTCAGAGCTTTTTCTTTGATGACAAAACGAAGAATCTTCTCTAGCTTCTCTACATACTGTGGTTGGTGAAGACTATCTCGCAAGACTATGGATAAAATATTGTTCTGCTGTATCCATTCCTAAATGTAACATAAAAATTTGTTTTAAAGCAAATCTAAAACAGAAGTTGTCTCTAAAAATACTGTTTATACTATTAAAAGAAATTTCAGAATAATTTATCAAAATACACTAAAATCAAGAAAAATCACAATTTCTTAACACCCAATTTGGTACATAAAGGAATGCTTCATAGATTAGAAACACAAAAATATATAGTTTTCACAGTATTCATCTTAGTGAGATAAAAAGTAGGCCCCAAAATGCATGAAAAGTATACATGCCCCAGCTATTAAAGCTTAATTTTTAAAATTTCAAATGTAGATAAAACTTTTCTTTTTAAATTTTATTTGTGTGTGTGTGTGTGTGTGTGTGGCCAGCTCAGCCCACCAGGGGGCAGGGCTGGCTGGCATGTGGTGCTGGGGGATTGAACCGTGGTCCCTCTGATTTGCTAAGCTTGTTCTAAGTAGGTGCTTTAGACCACTGAGCCATCTCACCAGCCCCAGATAAAACTTCTTAAAATACAATAACATGGCAATGTCAAATTATTCTAACATTTTGTCTTAAGTAGATTCTTATTTATTAAAAAGACAAAAAAAAAACCAAATGTTTGTTAATAAACAAACATTTACTAAAAAGACAAAAGCAAAAAACATACTGCCATTCGTTCAGCTGTAAGCCACTCTTCCTCTTCGGGATTACCATGCCGATGGGTGTAGTAGGATACACTAGATATCACCTTATTAACTTCATTCAGTGCATTCATCTTTCCATTGAAAGAAGAAATTTGCAATAATCTATAAAAGAAATTTAGTGGTAAGCATGATACTTAAAATCTATACACATGGCTATTTCAAGAAATAGAATTTTCACTTACCTAAGTATCATTTTTAACCTAAATATTTCTAAGTTTTTTACAGTTTCTTCTTGTCCTGGAACCCTTGAAGCTAAATTCTTCAAAGATTTAATAATCATGGAAAGAGCATCATTTTTAGCTTCATTCTTTGCTTCTTTTTTCAGTTCTTCATCAGTTAGATTTTCTAAAAACTGTGGAACCATTTCTATTATTGGAAGAAAGTATTTTTTAACTGTATGAAGAGTGAGAAACTCATAGCACTGTCCAAATGGTCTGCAATGAAGAAAGATGTGAAACTTGTAAGACTCAATTTCTTAATTAAAACTAAAGTCTTGAGAATTTATTACTTAACCCAAACTTGAATGACTCAATTTTTAAAATCAAGCAGTAATATTCTAATTTCAATAGTACAATGAACATTCACTTAAAACATTACTTACTTAATAAGGGCTGAAATTATTTGAACATTCAATGCTGATCCATTAATAAATCGATCATGTAATATCTGGAACCCATTTAAAGTGCCAAATTTGTTGAGAAGATCCACTAGCCAGCCCTGCAATATATTTAGTTACAATTAACTTCCTGCTTATAGGAGGAAAATAGTACTATCTTGATCGATACATGCTAGAAATAATAAATTCAAACTATGTCAAACTATTTTTGAAAAAACTTGAAAATGCTGCATTTTGCTAACACTAATCCCACCTGTGAGACAGAAGCAGCTCAGTAGCAAGTACAGATTAGATCACCGGGGTACACCTCTGTTCACATCAATACAGTTGGTGAACTGAATTAGGAACTGCACTTTTATTTCAATGATCCCATCGTAAGAACACCTTCTATATGAAAAGCACTCTGTCTTAAAATAATTAAGAAGACTTCAAATAATAAAGAAAAGCTACTTCTTAGTAAATAGCACAGTGAATCTTAAATCCACTTCTTATTATAATTGGAAATATTAAGATTTCTTGGGCCAGGGAGATAGCTCAGTAGAATAAGCGCCTGCCTGGAAAGCTCAGGGTCCTGAGTTCAATCCCTGGTACCGCAATAAATAAAAAAAATTATAAACTAACTCCTGATGGTAGAAGACTTGCCTAACACGCACAGGGTTCTGGGTTCTATTCTACTGCTGAAAGGAAAAAAGAAACTATCCACAAACCCCTAGTATCATTACCTCTCCATACTCATACTTAAGAATATGCTGTTTGATACTTCTGCTAACTTTTATGAATGTACCTAGTTCTTACCTTAGAACTAGCAGTGTACAATACTACAGATTGTCTTTCAACATCGTTAAGAGCAATAACTCAAAGAGTACAACACAGGTGGAATAGGCAATAGTATATTTAAAAGCATGTATATGTGGAAAACTTTAAGATTAATTAAAAGGTTATGTGAGTATTAAATATACCTAATGTACCTAAGACAACCTTCCTCTACTAGGCTACATCACAGAAACTGAAGAAACAACATGGGGTAAGAGGCAGATTCTCTATTATGCCTTAAGAATAATTCTACAGTTGTTTAAAACAAAAGTCTAGGAATGAGAAAAAATGAGAAGTTTTACTGTTAATATGTTTTAAGAAAATATGGTAACTATTAATTTTATGATAATCTAAACCAACTAAATTTTCTACTAAGTCCCCTACTATATTTCAACATAAGTGCATTATTTTTTACCTTTTTATTTGGTAAAGCTCATTCAAAGCAAAATTCTGAGTACTTAATTCACCAGAACCCTTTTGGGATTCAGAAATTCTAAAAAAATACAAGTAGTTCTGTGATATACGTATCACAATAGCATGTGTACATACAGTTGAAAGTTACTCTTCCTGTAAGTTCTTCAGATGGCATATGTTTATGTAATTAGGAATTCTGGGGCTGTGGAGATAGCTCAGCGGCTTAAGCACCTGCCTGGCAATCACAAGGTCCTGAGATTGAACCCCAAAACCAAAAAAAAAAAAAAAAAAAAAGAAAGAAATAAAGAAAGAAAGAAAGAAAAAAGAAAAAGAAAAAGAAGAGAAAAAAAGAATTCTGAGTGCTTCTCATTGAAATGTAGTTAATAAGCTAGCTTCAACAGTGGCAAACAAGTTTTCCTTATCTGGATCTAAGTTATTAAGACTGGAAGGGGTAGACCAATTGCTTTATATAAAAATGAACACAGCCTTATAGCTTGTCATATTCTCTAAATGTAGTTTTATGATACTATTAAAGTTCCCTTTTTTTAAAGTTAGTATAGGTGAATTTTACCTGAGACCTTTTATTTCAATCAAATTTTTAACATTTTGAATAAAAGCTTATATAAATATCTTCAAAGATCTTGGCGGGAGGTTGCAGGCAGAGGAGATGCTACCACACAGTCAGACAACTCATTCTCTTAGATAACCCTGACAATTTTAGTTTCATCAAGGCTCAAACACTGAGTCCATAAGGTTTAATGGGGAGGGTGTAGACATTTGCACTGTAAAGAAAAAGTAAAAGACCTACCCAGAACTCTTCGGGGTTCTAGGGGATTAAGTAGTATGGTTCAAAATCCAAAAAAACTCAAAAAGGTGAACAATGATATAGTTCAAAATTTTGGATTAGGGAAATACAACCGAGGAATCATTTATGTATAATTATTTCAAAATCTGAAAAAAATCCCAAATCTGAAATATGTATGGTTTTACACATTTTAAATACAGGATGTTCAACCTTTACCACCACTGGAGAATAAGAAAAAAATTATGGGCATTTACATTTCCTTTGGTTCATTTTATCTCAGTGCTCATATACATCTAAGAACACAATGTAGTTGGAAAATTCTGCCAAATATATCTCTTAATTTTCAGAAAAGCTAGGCAAGGTACTGCATGCTTGTAATTACAGTTATTTGGGAGGTGGAGGCAAGAGGAACCCAAGTTTGAGTCTATCCTAGATAACTTACCAAGACCCTGACAAAAATACATAGAATGGTTAAGGATATAACTCAGTTATAGAGCACTTGCCTTATATGCATGAGGCCCTGGGTTCAATCCTCAGTAGTTCAGGAAAAAAATATGGGTATAGACTAAGTAAAATTTTTTTTCTTTTTATCTTTTTGAGACAGGCTCATTTTATAGCCCAGGCTTGTCTTATTGCAACAATCCTCCTGCGTGCTGGGATTACAGGCATGGCCACTGCACCTGGCTTGAAAGTTTTAATTTTGGGGATTCTGGAGTTTTGTTTTCATATTAATCTGACCCACTCCAGCAAAAGTAAGCCACCTAGTGGCAACAATATGAACAGGTAAACAGCAGAAAATGTCATCTCTAAATTCAGCACCTTTTTGATAATCAGGTTTTAAAAAAATAAAACCAGCATTGTATATGACTTCAAATTTTTCTGGCTGGTTAGAAGACTACAAGATTCACAATACTAAAAATATCTCCCTAACTTCTAAAATTTTAAAATTATAGATTAATATTTATCAAAAGAAACATCTTTTTGAGGCAGGGTTTTTACTATGCAGTTCAGGCTGGATTTGAACTCTGAGATCTTTCCGCCTCAGCCTCCCAAGTGCTGGTACCACACCCAGCTAAAAGAAATATAAGAAAACATTTAAGTGCACAGTAAAATGATTTATAAAAGCTAATCTGTTTTACACTGATACAAGCAAATTTAAATTATACTTTTACTAATGTATTATTGCTTTATAATTTCTAAAAATTTACCTTGGTGATATGCATTTACAGGATATATTTGTTTTGTAATTAAATCTTAGAATGTGAAAAATGATCATGGCCTTACAGATCAATACTTGAGATCTTTAATCAAACAATCAATCCCTTACCTTACTCTTTTTACAATGGAAAAATATGATCTGCTCTATCTTAACCCAAATGGTGACTATTTTCAAAGATGTTGGGCAGCAAACACTTGGTACTAACTATATGTGAACTGAACTACAATGTTATAGCTATGCAAAAAGGTTCCTCATTCCACCTATTTTCGTATGAATTCCAAAGTAAATTTGATCATTAAGACTTTATTTCAATACAGAAAAACTCTGTAGTAGTAGAAACTAAATACTATAGCTTTGGTGTAAAAAAAATCCATTAACACAAAATTAAGCAGAATCTCTTTAAGAATAATTTTTCAGCATGTTAACAGGAGGTTCAGATTACTGAAAGATTTGTGGCAGAGGAAAACAACTGCAAGATTTAATTTTGAATATAACAAACCAACACACTTTTGGTGATCGAGGGTCTGGAGAACGAGCAAAGAGTTCATCTTCAGGCAACTGAACACTTGAAGAAACTGATTCACATGGACGTGTACCATTGTAGATATGAAATTTGCAATGAGGATTTAAGGCCATGGCAAGAAGTTCTAGAAGTGGAAACCAGTCTTGGGACAGCTTGGCCACACATAGCTCCACTAGCCGATGAGTATTATTAATAATACATCTCTGTTATACATGGGAGAAAGGTGTTTAGAATATCAAAACATTGCAATTTCAAACAATTATCTTATAAGGTTATCTTATAATAACGACTTCCCAATTTTTCATTTCAATTATATTGAATTTGATGGTATTGGAATCAAATGAAAGACACATTAGCATTTACTTCATGTTTTATAATGGTACCTACTTTCCAAAGCTATTTCTTAGAGCCTAAAAAAACAAAGCAGGTGTTATAAATTATCAATTTTTGCCTTATACCCATAAATATCAATTATCTTTTTTAAAAAATTTGTATAACATAGGCAACAACTCTAAAATCTAAGTATATCAATTACCCAAGATGGAGTACATTCACTATCTTCAACAGCAACACTTTGAAACTATCCCCACCCCATTTTGGAGAGACAGGGTCTCCCCCTATGTAGTTCAGGCTGGCCTTGAACTCATGGTGATCCTCCCTGCTTCAGCCTTCCAAGTGCTGGGATTATAGACGTGTGCCACCTTGCCCAGCCCAAACTTTCTATTTCTAAGCCTATAATTTAATCTATTATACATGAGTTGATCAAAATAGTGAATATTTTTTAAAAAAATTAAAGATTATTACAGTAAAAGACACTGCCAAGAATGTATTTGAAATCTGAGTATTTTGATGGGGATTAATGGCAATGTGTCTTGTAATAAAAATTTTAAACATTCACTAGTTTTTGATCAACTTATGGTGTAACACAGTAAATCAGAAGATTTTTATACCATGATCACACCTGGGAAATAGTTCAGAGATGACAAAAATCAGTTGCTTTACAACTGATGATCATTTCCACAGAAAAACAAGAAACAGAGACTTGGACAAATTACAACACTTAAAAGCCTAGTACACAATTATTTTCTAAGATTTTTGAAATCTGACCTTTTTTTAAATAATCAATGAATTACTAAAATGTTCATACAGATCTGGGTTTACAAGTAAGTCACTTCAGGTCAATACTCATCTGAGATCACTTTTAATATTATATACACTTTGGCTAATGATTTCAATTTTTAGATCATTTTTTCCCTTGTACCACATGCCAAAGTTGAAACATACAAGTTTCTTTGTTGTCCCTTTGTTCATGACGAGCATACCTTCCATTCACCTTCACACTAACCTTTCTGGTGTCTCAAATGTGTGTGTGTTACATTCTCTATTTTGGGTGGTTTTCATTCTTAATGGTATATAAAATAAGAGTGCATTAAACAACTGACAGCATCATATCTTCTATGAAATGTGACTTGTCTAAGGTCACATATGCCTTGCAAACCCAGAAGACATATTAAACTTAAGTTTCTTTACTATAAATCTCATGCCTTTTTCTGAGACAAGGTCTTGCTAATGTAGTCCAGGCTGGCCCTGAAGTCAGGACAATCCTCCTGCCTCAGCCTCCTAAATACTGGGAATACAGGCATTACCATACCTGTCTCATGTTCATTCTTAATGACTGTGCTGCCTTTAATTGATTTGTATGTATAAAACGGACCAAAATGTAAGTGAACACACTCAATTCCAACCATCTCCTTTTTACCCTAGAGACTGCTATGTAAATCTGATCTTTTAAAGTCAAATGTAGGACTTACATGAATTTCAAACTTCCAGCCACTCACTGCTTCATCTGTAAGGATTTTAGTGAACGATATTGTTAGCCCATCTCGAAAAAATCGCTGACATGCTTCACTTTTAACATCAAGGCCTACAAAAAAAAGAGAGAAAAACTTTAACACTACATTTCTCTACTTGTTTTACAATATCAAATTATATAAAAATATAACTTCAAACTATTCAATGATAGGTCACAGATGCAGAGTAAATTGGAAGGCCTTAGATTATGCAAAAGGCAAAATACTGTCAAGTTATTACCATTTCAAACTTTCTATATATACTGTATGTCAAAAGGTAACATGACTCACAAAGAAAAAAAAAATCAACAAAAATTCAAAATATTTCATTATGTAAAAATGCATTGAACCTAGTAATGATAATTAAAAACATTAAATTTTATGACACTGGATCTTCAACTCAAAATGGTTGCCAATAGCATGTGATGAGGAATCTAAATACTTCACAACATTTTACTAACTGAAAATAAACCTTAAAAACATTCACAACTTTAAAAAATTTTTCTCTTGTTCATAAATCACCCATTTAGTACCCATATCCTCACACTATTTTGTAAGTTTATGGAAATAAGATGAATCTGTTAAAATATTTAATTATGTAAAAATACACTAAACCTAGTAATGCTAATTAAAACCATTAAATTTTATGACACTGGATCTTCAACTCAAAATGGTTGTGAACTATCATTGTTATTAGTCTCTGTATATGTTTCTATCTTTGCTTAATTTTATTTCAAAAGATAATAGAGCCATCCGCTACCAAACACAAAGAACATACATAACACTTTAAGATAAAACAAAAAATCATTGGATTTAGAGTCCCATTCCCTACCCAGTCATAGGGACTGAACCTAAGACACCTCAGCACTGAGCTGCATACCTAGCCCCCCCTTAAAATTTGAGACAGGGTCTTGCTGAGTTGCCCAGGTAGGGCTCACACTTTCAAACTTCCTGCTTCAGAATTGTTTTGAGATCATGAAGTGTGCAACACCAAACCTGGCCATGCTTGATTTTGATTATACAATAGGGATGACATTTAAGCTTAACCTTGTTTAAAATAAAACATGGCCCTAGGAAAAAAACAGGGAAGGATATAAATCCACCGAATGTCAATGCTATTAAGTATCAGTATCAGTCCTTACCTATTACTTTTCATATTCAATTTCAGGAATTTGAATATGACTAGCACAGACGTTTTCAAAACTCTGCTCAATTGGTGAATAAATGTATAAACAAAATTTCAGTATTACAAAACAATTATAATTTGGTTAACTTTCATAGTTGGTTACTTTTACAAGATTAACATGTCATAATGACACGTTTCTCTCTAAAACATTCACAACCGGGCCATACTTGCTAGGTCTCACTATAGGGTGGCATAAACCACTGGTGGTACAAGCATGCTTGTCCCATCAGGCAGTGAGACAGGGTAGGATGGGATAGCTCCATCAGATCATTTAGGGTGGAGGGAATATGTTAAAAGAGTAATTATTACAAGATAAAGGAAAATTTCTTTGTCCAAGCAATGTACCAAATATGTTAATTCTTACAATCATTCACTCCAGTTGTTACAGCATTTATTGAGAGTTATAAAAGGAGTGTAAGCTTGAAGAGGCAGAGCCTAAAACAGTGTTGATGAACCTTTTAGAACTTTCACCTGTTCATAAGTTCACCACCACTGACTAGAGGAAAGTCTTAGGACACAGAAGCATGCCTTCAGAGGTAATCATGGGACACCCATTATCTCCCACCCTCTCTTGTACTTTCTGGCCACCAGGAGGTAACATTACCATATAGGCCCCAGCACGATGACACACAGTCTTACCATGGGCCCAAAAAGCATTAGGGCCAACAGATTATGGAACAAAACTTCCAAAGCAGTGAGCTACATGCTTATTACCTGAGGTATCTGTTACAGCAAAAAGCTAACACATATGGCACCGTATTTCAGAAAATGAAATGTTACTGCTTTTTATCTCAATCTCTGATGTCTTAAAAATGAGAGTTCTCTGCTAAGATAATTTAATTATACCTAAAGTAGAGCAAAATAATGTAAGACAAGATTAATTCCTGTTATATTTCTGAGCAACTGGATATAAAGAAACTGGATTCCTTCGTATTAGCTTTTTCTTCCCCCTGCAGTACCAGGGATCGAACTCAGGACCTTGCACTTGCCATACAGGCACTTATGCTGCTGAGCTATCTCTTGGCTAAAAATTTTTTAAAACACAGATTCTCATCTTTCAAGTTATTTAGAGGGGGAAAAGATCATATAATTTCCGAGCATTTATAAAAGCACATGTAGAAGCTGAGTATGGTGTGGGACACTTGTAATCCACTACTGCCATGAGTTCAAGGTCAGCCTGGGATACATGGTGAGTTTGAAGCCAGACTGAAATATAGAGCAAGACCCTGTTTCCAAAAAAACTACACATAATGTAATTTAAAAACACAATGTTAATACAATGGCAATCCTTATTCAAAGGACCACAGATGAAGGTTCTTCTAGGTACAGAGATCCTTTGATTCACAAAGGACAAGTGTATACAATCTGCAGATTTAAACAGCATATTTTGAGACCAGAAATGGCTCAGGATAAACACATACACACAAAGCCAGCTATGTCTGAAGTCTACCCAATCCATCACGTAGAGTATTTAACTATAAAATGTTCTTTCATGTATTATCATTCTCCCTAAAACAGATGGGACCTAGTTTTAAAATAAACCTCTGACAACCCCTTTACTAATAACTAATAGGACTAAACAACAGATCTGCTCCTTAGAAATACAAATATACACAAATCGAATGTGTTAACTTCAGGGTTCATAAACACTCTTAAAGATCTCATAAACTACAGCTAGTGTTTATTAATACGGATAAATTATCTTAAGCCGGAGAGATAGCGTAACAGTTTACGCATTAGGCTCTACAGCAAGAGGTCATAGGTTCGAGTCCCGGGTCTGCCTTTACAGCGTATGTTATGGAAAGTATGACAACATCAAAACTTACCTTTCTTACTAAGATCAATAGCAGCTTCTAAAAGCACTTCTAATTCCCCTTTCGGCAAAACTGGAACCACCCATCGAGGCCTAAATTTTTATAAAATAAAAAGATGCTTACTGGTTTTGACTATAAGAGGCACTATGAGTCAGTTGCTAATTATAATTATTTACCTTGCTGTGAAAATATTAACACTAAAATACTATATTAAAATAACTAGGTTGGTAGAATGTGCTTTGTGTAACTTAACACCATCTATTGTCTCTACAAACAGAATTTCTTAAAGATACCACCAAACAAAAGATACATCAATGAGAGTGGGAATAAAATTCATTTCAATATAGTGAAGTATAATTATCAATTAGGACCCGGGGAGATGGCTCAGTGGAATAAGTGCTTCCCTGGCAAGCACAAGGGCCTGAGTTCAATCCCTGGTTCTGCAAAAATAAGGAAATAAATAAATAAATAAAATTATCAATTAATTATGTATCATAGATGCTTACTATGAAAGTTCAAAGGAAAGTGTTATTTCAGGACAGATTAGAAGACACATGTCTTGAACTTCACAAAGAACAAAATTTTTAAGAGGCAAGGAAGTGATTTATGCCTCCAATTTTTTATAATTCACTGACTTTTTTGATGGTTAAGTGAGCCATGGTGGGCCTGCAGCCTCCATGTTTCCACAGAGGCCCTTTTCCCTCAAATAGGGATGCAACCTCTACCCAAGTGGTACTTTCTTGCTAAGCATAGTCCTGGGCCAACCAGCTAGTCACCCATACTTTTCTTACCCTTTTCTCCTAACCAACACCCAATTTACCCACTGTGTCCTAGAAGAGACAGCTTTCTTCCATTTATCCCTTATCTGTCCTAAGGGTTGACAAAATACTCCCTGTAATTTAATAAAAAGCATTCCTTACCGGATAATTAAAAACAAATGTATCTATCTTTGTTATCATTTTTAATTTTTAAAAAATTTTATTTTTCTTCCCTTGAAGACAATATGCCATTTTCTACCTAGATAAGAAGTACTTTTCCAACAAGCACCAACCACCAGTAAAACTGCAAAGCAACCATACAACCTTCTGTTTTGATGTCTCTGCTATAGAGGGGCTATCACATACATGTTTATACAGTTTTTCATTATAATTCACTGTACTGGTAGCTTCTTTAATATACCACTAAAATTAATGAGTTAACATTAAAAAGAAAAATAAGATAAATGAAATGAGGGACCATAACAAGTATAAAATTATACCAACAATCTTTTGTCTGTACAAAAAAGGGAAATTAAAAGAAACTTATCTACATAATATAGATCTATTTTAATAACGTAGTCATTCATATTTTAAATGCAAAAGGTTATTTTCCTTGACATTATGTATATACTGAAAACACAATGAAGAAAATTTGGTAAAACAAGTGTCTGTAAGAGTATTCATTACTTTCCTTGGGGGGGAGGGGAATACATCAGTCACACTTCTCAAGCACTCCCTTGTCCAGCCCATGGACCCAGGGAAGAACACACCTATATGGGGCTCCTTATCGTGATTCTTATTATTTTTCTTTTTCTTGTCCTGAACAGAAGCTTAAAGCTTCACTCAGGGTTCACAAAGGGCAAGCTTTGAGTAACTCAGTTTCCTCATAACCTGGGGGCCACTCCAAAGTTATTAAAAGTCATCTAGTAAATAACCTGCCAGTGAAAAAAAAAGCTTCATAAACTCTATTAAAAGGCAATGGCACAAACAGTTCCAGTCCTGCTTCAGAAACACACCAAGAGCCTTATCAACTGATATACTTTTTTTTTGTCCTTTTCAGACAGGGTCACATGCAGTTCAGGCTGGCCTTGAGCTCATTTTGTAGCGCAGGCTGATTTGGATTCACAACGATCCTCCTGCCTCAGCCTCCTGAGTGCTTGGATTACAAGCATTTGCCACCACACCTGGCAAGCATCATTAATCTAAAACTCTTTCATTTATTAAATCCATTAAGAACCAAAATACTAAGCAGTGGCTAAGATGTGAGACAATGGTGGTGGCAGTAAGATTATTGTTAACATTTTTTTCGCTCTTCTCATCCACTATGAGACACAATGTTGAAAGACTTGAGTTGTTTTTCTTACACATGACATACACTGTAAAACTAAAACCAAAACCTACTCACCTATTGATCATATCATCCAACTTTGCCAAGTCAGTATGTGGAAATGCAGGTTCCTCATCTTCAATCTGTGGTGGGGCATCACCCTGACCTTGTTCATCTGGTGGAGTTGCCGGGGAATTTTCATTGGAAGAATCAGGCGATGAAGTCTTGATTCAAAAATTAAATATACAGATTTCAGTTACTTTGAAGTATGTGCAATATTCAGTAATTCAAACAACAGGTATTAGTGTTGCAAATTTTGAAAAACATGTTGTAAATCTTCAGTTAGTCCTCAACGGCCTAACAAAATATTCTACCACTGTGTAGTAGATGAGAAAACACAGAAAGATCACACACAGCTCAAACACTGGAGTCTGGATTTAAAGGTCTACTGCAAGGTCTATGTTCTTAATCTATACCAATTCTCTGCTTATACTTTCTAATGAGCCCTGTCATGATACACAAATTGTATACCTCTGAAGCATATTTATAGATTAATTTGTAATTTATACCTTTTAAAATTACAAGCAAAAAGAAAATACTTTTCTGTAGCTTCCCTACTCTCACACTATTATCCAACAACAGTAACTTAACATGACTGTAGCTTCCAAATAAATTACATCTTTCAACTAACAGGAATAATTTTTATTTCTGTCATTCCTTATTTTAACACACCTCTTTTCCTCAATTTCAGATGTACATAGTATTTTCATAATAATGTAAATAAACTATTGTAATATAAATAAACTATCATAATAGTTTAATTCCTCATGGGATTGATAAGTGAACTCAGAACCTTGCACATATCAGGCAAATACTCTATTGAGCTATACCCCCAGTCCATAATCCTTATTTTTAATTTTGAAAGTGACACTTTCTCTTTGAAAAGTAATCTAACCTACAAAAGAGCCCTTCTCCCTATCATTTAAGCAACTACTGTGTAGTCATACAATCAATAGAGTTGCATAAGTAAATGCTTGCATGAAGACAGCTAGTATTTTTTTTTTGGTGAACTTTTTTTGAGGTGCAAACAGTGCACAGGTGCCACACAGCTAGTCTCAAGGCACAGAATTCAAGTGTCAAAACTCCAAAATAACTGATTTCAATATGCTAATCTTATTTATTTAATGTATTTTAGGGAAAGGTCTACAAGGTATTCAGGGTCTCACTACTTGATCAGACGTAGTGATCTGCCTGTTTACAGCCTCCCAAGAGCTAGGATTACAGGCGTGCACAACCATGCCCAGTCTCAACTGAGGTCTCCACATGCCCCAGGGGTAGTGCTGTCATGGCAGGCCCGGGGCCAGCCCCTGCTCCTGCTTGCAGATGCTTTAATCCACTGAGCTATTTGGCTGGCCTTAAGAACTTATAGTCCACAATAACAACACTTTTGCCTTTAAACTGTAGTACTGATTCCACAAAAATATGTACCAACTGTCAGCAACATATCTGTGACTCACATATACACACCCCACTAATTTACTTCTTTTTTTTTTTTAACTTTATTTATTTGTGTGGGGAGGGCAGCTCAGCCCACCAGGGGGCGGGGCTGGCTGGCATGTGGTGCTGGGGGATTGAACCGTGGTCCCTGTGTTTTGCTAAGCTTGTTCTATGTAGGTACTTTAGACCACTGAGCCATCTCACCAGCCCCACTAATTTACTTCTAAGCACTGAGCTACTTCACAAAAAAATTTTTTAAAAACTTTTAATGTTTATCTTAAGTTTAATACTTTCCAATATAAAACTATACATATAAGAAAGTGCTAAAATCATTATCTGAACTTCTAAGTAATAACAGAAATCAAATTCACATAAGTAAAAAGAAGGGTAAAAAAAGGGTGGGGCAAAGCCAAAATAGTGGGTTTTTTAAAAAAGGTTTACTGAAATTCATGAACCCCTAAAAAAAAAAAATCAGAACACAAACGGGCAGTTATCAGAAATAAACAAGGATATAGTACTAAAACCCCAAGACACTGAAAGAGAGTTGAAAGGATACCATTGGGGACAAGGGGCTTCAGTGGTAGGATATACGCGTAGAATGTGCAAGGCCCCAGATTTGATCCCCAGCAGGCATACGTGCACGTATGCACACATACTATAAACTGTATCTCAAATTTGACAATCTAGATGAAATGGACAGATTCCTTGAAACACTCAACTTATCAAAGACAGAAATAGAAAAAAAGCAAATTACTTCTAAAAAAGTTCTATCTGCAAGTAAAACCTTTCCACAAATAAATATCCCAAGTCAGATGGTTCTGCCAGTAAAAATCTTTCATACAATCAATGAAAAATGTACTGAAGCCTTAGATAAATTCATCCAAAGGATAAAGATCCTGAAGAGTTTTAAGGCTAGTACAGAGAAATCTGTTACCCTTTTTGCTCATTAACAATGCCATGAAATAGTGACATAATTATTATCCCCACTGTACAGATGAAAATGAAGCTTAGTGGTGATATAAATGAACTAAAGTCTTAAAGGTAGCATGATGCAAAACTGAAATTTGAACATTAGCAATATGATCTGAGTCTTATGTGTTTTTATTAAAAAATTTTACTGTGAACTAAAAACTTATAATTAGATACTAGAAAAAAAAATCAATCATACACTCAAACATCACTAACTACAACACTTGCATTTTTGCTGGGGATATAGCTCAGTGGCATGGCACCTGCCTGGCGAGTATAAGGTTTGGAGTTTGATTCCCAGTACCAGAAAAAAACAAACCCACTTGCTAATGTGCAAAATCTATGTTCATTTTTCTGAAAAAGATAATCATTTTATGGCTACTTCTTAAATTATTCAGAGAACCTACTTCATCATCAGTGCCATACTGAATCAATATACCAACATAGGTAGAACTAGTACCTTCAACATCCTACCTGATTCTGTTGGAGGGGGGGCTGAGACTGGCCATCAGGAGCCTGGCCCTGGTTGTCATTCCCTCCAACTGGAGAGCCACGAGTCGTGGCTGTCATACTCGACACAGGGCAGATCTTTGCAATTTTGTCTGCTTATGTAGTTGTCTTCAGAAAAGAAATTATAGTCCACTTATAAAAGATGAAGTACCAGCATTTGTCAGTCTTAAAAAGCTCCAATTCAAGAATAAACCATCTTGCAGAGACCATTGCATAACCTACAAATAGAAGAGGAAAAAAAAGTAATTTGTTTGACATGAAAAACATGAATTAAAACTGCAAATTTGATATCAGCAAGTAAATCAGGTCAGAAGATGGCTATATAAATGAAAGGAGAAACCAGGTGTGGTGGCACCTGCCTGTAAGCCCAGCAAGTAGCAAGCTGAGGGAAAATAAAGTTAGTTTCATTAACATTTGATGTAATAAACAGATGACACACGAGCCATTGACTATACCAAGAAAATATGCAAGTACAACTTCTTACGCAACATTTCAGTTTTCTCTGGCACTGATTCCAAAGACAGTGTATCAAGGACTTAGATGGCACTTTATGGAATGAGACACTATCTGTCTGCAACTCTGCTAATGCCTTCAATACAGGGCAAAAACAAACCCACTGAAGACACAAAGAAAAACATAATTTCTAAAAACATTTCAGGAAAGCTTGTGCACACATCTATCACTGACATTACAGCACCATGAAAGGTTTTAACATAAGCTTATTTTAACATTTTGAGCAGAAACTCCACAGGAAAGGGATATACATGGGAAGACCTTTTGCACATCGCAAAACTGAGGTTATCTTCAAGTCAAGGACAGAAGTCTCAAAAGAAAAACATCCACACCTTGATCTAGACTTCCAGCCCATAAAACTGTGAGAAATAAAATTGTTTTTAAGTCCCCCTAGTATTCAGAAGAATGACACCAAACCCTTAAATTCTATTTTCACTAAACCAATGAGTTTTATCTTTAGCTTCATGGTAAAATCACTTGAGGTACTTAAAATGAAACACTGATGCCCAGGTTCCTCTCTAGATGGAATATCATTTGGCAGTAAGGCCTATACATGTCAATGCTTTTCAAAGATCTTCTGGTTGAATCTAATGTAGTCACTAGATGGAGAAACTTACTTCCTATTTGCCCGAAAACACTTCATCTATAGCTATAGGTTATAATTTTGAAATACATAATTTAAAGGAGAGACGGGAGAAAGTTGCTTCCCTACAAACATAGCAATGTTTCATTGCTACATTTTAAAATCATAACTTCACTTAAGATTCAAGACCAAATTTAAGGTATAAAACATACCCAGGACTCACCTATGTAAGTAAATCTTGATACCCAAATATAGTGTTTATCACAAGTTGCTTAGGTGAGCAAAATGTCACATGTGCAAAGAAGAGGTTTCCAAATGCTATGCTATTACTCATTCACACTAATCTATGTAGCATGGAAGATGAATACAATCACCTCCATTTTACAGAGTCAAACACAAGAACTGCAGGGCTTGTCGTTATACAGAGCCAACTCTCAGATAGGATTCTAAGATTTTTTTGTTTTTGTTTTTGAGACAGGGTTTTGCTATGCAGTTCAGGATGGCTTTGAATGTGGCAATATGAGCACTGGGATTATAGGGATGCACTACCATACCAGGCTTGACTCAATGACTTTTTCCTCTTCTAATTTTCTTATCACTTTCACACCAAATAAAGTGTACCTTATACTATACCAAAAGAATAAACTATAGGCAGGTTAATGCAGAAAAGTATAATGAAGAAACTGTAATAGTTATTAGAGGAGTAAGTATAAACCTAATTTGAAACACACATGCAAAACTCTAAAAATATATCTTCCTGGGCCATAGAGATAGCTCAGTAGAATAAGCGCTTCCCTGGCAAGCCAAGGGCCTGAGTTCAATCCCTGGTTCTGAAAAGAAAAAAAGAAAAAAGAAAAAAGAAAAAAATATATATATTAAAATCTTCCTTTAGACATCAAGGAAAAGACAGAGTTGTCTGAGAAAATAAAGAGGTAATGAGAATGAAGAAAAAAAAAAAACCCCTGTACTATCTATGTCCAAGGCATTGCAAAATAAGGAGACACTGTAGTAGAAAACCTGACAAAGGATATGGAAGTCTCAGAAAAAGAAACATTAAGTGACCAATAAACACATGAAATTACAACACCTAACTGTATTGCCTTTGAGACAGGGTCTCATGTATGTATCTCAGGTTGGCATTGAACTTGCAGTGATCATCCGACTCAGCCTCCCAAGTGCTTGGATTACACAGGTGGGGTGCTACTATGCTTCGTTCACCTAACTTTAATATAGAGCTTTTCACATGTTATGCACTGTTTCAAGCAGTCTAATTCTCACTAATGTATATAGCAGAAATTTTTATCATTCTCCCCTTACAAATGAGAAAAGAGTGAAAGAAATTATCAGTACAAGCACTAATGAGCAAAACTGGACTTTAAACTAGGGAGCCCACAGCTTTTAAGTGCTATGCTATCTTATCTCCTAAACTTCTTTAGTAACTGAAAAAATGTAAATTCAAAACCAAGATTTTGTTTCACTGATCAAACTGGCAAACACAACAAAAAAGCTTAAAACTAGCCAAGTCTACAGACTCTGAAGCACTTCAAGTGAAAACATGAAAACATGTTATTAAATAGTTCCTCATTTTGTTTTCCATTTTATACCTCCCAAGTTACAAAAAGTGTTATATGAAGTTGATAATTTTAAAAGCCGACTTGCCTATTACTTTCCTTATTTTGGATCTGCTGACAAATTATTTGAATTTTTTTTTCTTTTTGCTAGGCATTCAAAACACCAGCTAGTCAATTCAACTTCCTTTTTTCCTTCAAATGTGAGCCTGGTTTTTCCTTTTGTCCTGCACCCTGGGCTTATGATCCCATTGCATGTATTTCTCCAATGGATCATTCCCCCCTTCAGTCTTTTCCTGGACTGCTCTTCTTATCCTGTGCTTGAATCTTCCCTACTGAAAAATCCCCAATTTCTGCCCTGTTCTTAACAAAAATCTTAAAAAGAATAGTCTCTGATTTGGCTTTCATTTCTTCCATTCTTGCTCATCACAGCCCACACTGCCAAAATTGCTTTAAGCCCAGGGGGTCTTTATGGATGGGTCTGAAGGATATAATTTTTAAAAGTACATACAAAGCTTTGTCAGTGTGTTCATTGGAAGAGGGATTGGGGAGAAGGTCTGGTTCACAAATCAGTGGCCTATTAACTGACAAATCAAATGGCTGCTTCCCAGTATTCACCTATCCACTCTTCTCAGTATCAGACAAAATTAAAACACTGCAGTATTCTTCCTTTTTTCCCATGTATTTAGGACAGAGGCTATAGGGTCTACAGGGTCTCGCTACGCAGACTGGACTCATAGTGATTCTTCTGTTTTTAAGCTTCTCAAGTGCTGGGATTACAGGCATGTGCACTCTCAATCACCATCTCAGTGTGCCCAGGGAGCGGGGGGGCCAGCACGGCACGCTAGGGATTGAACCCCAGCTGCTGTGTTCTGGGTAAGCAGGCCCTTTAGTCCACTGGGCTATCAGGCTGGCCCTAACACTATAGTACTCTTTAGGTAGACCTTCACTGTTTATGTATGAATTTGTGCCAATTTCTACAAATTAAAAATCCAGGGCTCCAAGTTGTTACATGACCTGACCCAGATATAGTTAAGACACTGAAATACCTAACACTAATTCTATCATCTTGTCCACTAAAACCACCATCACTTAAAGAAATGTCCATGTAACCCAGGTGTACAGTGACATAAATGGACAAGCAAACTGCTGTACATACACACAATGGAATGATCTCTTTAAAAAAGGAAGAAGGGCTGGCCAAATAGTTCAGCGGATTAAAGCACCTGCAAGTAGAAGCAGGGGCCTGGGTTCAATCCTGCCCTTGGGGGAAGCTAAAATGGCAATTGAGACTGGGCGTGCTGGTGCATGCCTATAATCTCAGCTCTTGGGAGGCTGTAAACAGACGGATCACAAGTCTGATCTAGTAGTGAGACCCTGAACACCCTGTAGACCCTTCCCTAAAATACAGAAAAAAATAATTATAAAGGAAGAAAACGCCACACGAATTACACTACAAGGATATTACACTAAGTGAAACAAGTCAGACAAAACCGTTCAAGTAATCGCATGGCCCCACTTACAAGAGAACTGAGAAATAGTTGCACGCAAGACAGAAAGCAGAATGGTGGTTTTCAGAGCTCAGGGAGAATGGAGAGTTGCTATTTACAGGATACAGAGCTTCAGGTCAAAAAGATGAAAAAGTTCTGGAAATGGATGACATTGGTTACTACTTTTAACTTTTTAAATTCTTTTTCTTTTTCTTTTTTTTTTTTTTGCGGAGCTGGGGATTGAACTCAGGCCCTTGCCAGGCATGCACTTATTCAACTGAGCTATCTCCCCAGCCCCAACTTTTTAAATTCTAATTAAGTAGTGACTGGGTATGGTGGTACATGCTAATGATTCCAGCCCTTGGGAAGAGGTGAGGTAGGACGGCCATAAGTTCATGGCCAGCCTAGATTACATAGTGATACCTTGTCTCAAAAATAAAGCATATATATAGGCAAACTATGCTGCAATTAATATGCTAGCATACACGGAAAAATACACTATCTTTATTGTTTACGTATGCTATCCCATCTTTATGTATCCTAATTACCCTCCATATATAGACAAATCAAAAATACCTGGCAAGCCAGGCACAACAGCACATGCCTGTAATTCCAGCGACTCAAGAGGTGAGGCAGGAGGATTCTAAGTTCGAGGCCAGCCTGTGCAACTTAGATCCTATCAGCACTTCCTGGGTACAATTCTCAGGACCACAAAAACAAAAACAAAGAACAAACAAACAAAAAAAACCTGGCAAAAGTAAGACTATTCTAGACCAAACTATAGCTAAGAATTCTTTTAAACTAAAATAAATGGGAAAACTCTCAAACACAACTTTCAGACCTCAGAATTAAGTCACTACCTGCCTCCTGTAGGACAATCAGCAAAGATTCAAGCTGCTTATCATCTCTACTTATTCTGTCTCATCTTTCTAGCTCTTGCTTTAATCTGCTATTTCTACCTTTGTGAAGTTCTCATTACATTTCCACTGTTGCTGGACAGGTATGTAAGGTCGCAACACAGCATACTTTCTGTATTTTGGTGTTTGTAAAAGCATCTTTATAAG